AAAGTGATAGTAAGGCAGCTTTTAGAGTAAAGAAAATGTAACGAAGAAGAAGGTATTAAAAGGGTTTAGTGCTACGAGATTGCAACATTAAGCAGGATGACGTGATACTATCCATATGGAAATGAACCGAAAGTAAATGTCTCGTTAATGCTAATCTGTAGAAGCAACTGGCAATTTTTTTCAAGAGTATATTATTTCCGGACGAGGTACTGCAGCCAGTGCACAACTGCAATTCTTTCCTCGCATCCTCATTTTAAATACTTTACAGCAGGAATTATTAATGACTAACTACCCCCACTTTCGCTGCAGATGTTTTGCATGTTGCTAGGATAATGCTCAGTCACACGATGGGTCGTGGATTATTGTCTTCCTTCCAAACGCTTCTTAAATCCATTAATATCTGGATTCTTGTATTGTTACCTTTAATTCTAATCCTAAACCTCTCATTGTTCATTTCTATCGCTGTGAACAGTTTCACACAAACTGTTTAAAATTGATTTGCATAACCGCGTGAGCATTATTATTAATTGCGAATTTAATTTAATTTTCATTCAAACAAAGTATTTATACGTTTGGAATGCATATCACGTATACGTAATGCAACAGCCAATTATATTATTTGAGAGATGGATCAGAACAATTATTTTTAAAGACTTTTTATTCATAACCTGGAAGGAGTAATATATTGAAGATTTTCAGTGTTAAGAGCACAGCTTAAGTTTGAAATGGAACACTTGGAACTTTTTTCATGCAGTTGGTTTCAAGAAAATTTGAGTAAAAGACAGCTGCTAATTAAGGATCGATCCCAGTTGCTCTCTTCTCTCCCGGTCTTAATCTGCCTGTTCTACTTTGCTCAAAATTATTAAGAATTAGCACCACTTCGTAATGTGATGAGACATGCATTCATATGATGGACATATATATAACATATTTTATAATAAACCGAATTTTATAGTCGTGCGGAGGTCAATTTTCTTTTCTGTGCTACTGTTTTTAGCGCTGGATCGTGTTCCGACACTCCGGCAGTACTCGTCCGTCACTTAATCTCATATACTGTTCTCGCTGCTTTATCATTATGAAATCCATGGTGATGATCCAATGAGATGCTTTAGAGCGTCTTCTCGACACTGTCGACGCCTTGATGTGATCAGATGTAATGAATTTCCTTGTCGTAACGTTTATGGAAGTTCGTTATTATCCCAAGTCATCATCACATACGAAATCTTAATTCTGTATTTGATCTCTGACCTGAGTTTATTAGATCACAGCAGTTTCTAGTTGATTGTCCGCAAACAGTCTCTCCTGGTAATATCCATTTGCATCACTCGTGCCACATATTCGTTTTCATCTTGCAAATATTTGCTACACAGGTCATTCGCTTAAAGTCATTATATTTGTTTGCGACATCTTTTGAAACCAGGTGAGTAGTTTTGAAGCCCTTTGTAGAACCATCAATCCTGTTCCTTCCCATCCAAACAAATCTCTCAATATTATATACAGACCTGGATGCAAGGAAGTGCACTTCTTAATGAAGTTATTATCAGGGCCCTTTCACATTCTAATTAAGCAAGTAGGTAACTACTTTCGGCTTTAGATAGAAAAGTATCACGCACTTCATAATTTGGAACGAATTCTTCCAAATATTCGTTGTGTCAGATATCATCATCATTTTCCATCCCCGAGTTCCACATCGTAACCTGAAAATCTCTAATCTCATGTGTCCCTACTTTGTGGATGACAGGCTGTTCTTCGGTCAGATTCTTAAACAATAACAATCAAACATTTCAAATCTGACGCATTTCGGGATACACTTCTTGGCCTCCTCAGCTATTACCTTCAAGTATTCCATCAGCCAAATACCGCTCTATGAGAGTTTTGTGGAAATTAAACAAGCTTACCTTCTTTTCTATGCTTGCCTTCCACCCCCATGGCTTTATCTCTCGCCTTGTCATCTCTCCATAACACTTTTGTGATGCCTTGCAATTTGGTGGGATTCTGTGAGGCATATTCACGCGCCGCTTGGTTCATCGGTCCAAGTATAAGCGGGTCAACGCTTTCGAGGTTATTTTTCGCGTTCACTTTATCTGGTTGTCCCTGTGCGTCTTGCATCAGCACTAGATATTTTTCCTTCACATCTAGATAAACCTTAGACTCGTGAAGCGTGTTTTCCTCGAAGTGCGTATTTTGTAGATTGACACTTTCGTGGACTCCTGCAAGAACCGTTTCTGTAAGCATGGACTGCCTGCAATACTCGTAATCAAGAAATTCACTTGCTGCAGTTCCTCGTAGTAACTGCGTAATTGTGCAAAGAACATCTCGCTGTACAAGGAACGAGACAATAGCTATCCTTCTCCTCTCAGAATTCAAAGATCGCTTTCAGCACCTCTACTGGCCATTTACTGCGTGAAACCTTCATTCCACGAATGAAGAGGACTTCTGCTGATTCTAGTGCGCTGGTGGATTGCTCTCTCACATCTTCACGAACCTTATATATATATTTATTTATATTTATATATCTCATAGTCAACAGACAGATTCTCCATCCGACAAGTTGAATAAATGTGTGCAATTTGTTGAGTGTTTAGTGTCCAATGGAGAAAGACGAAGGTCACTCAACACCTGCTGACCCGACCCAATCAAGAACGTACATGGTCTTGCATTTGATCACTAGTCAGTATTTAACAAAATCAATTACTGTGATTCCATACTGAAAATTTCTTTATATGATTTTGTCAAAGTTTTTATTACTAGACAATTAAGTGAGAAAGTGTAATCACCAGTATAAATAACCAACTAATTACTTTTTTAAAATAAAATTTATAAAACCAGAAGTGTTAAATTTATGCATGAACACGAAAAACGACTAGAAATTTCTGCGGAGCTTTCAAATTACATGATGTTTTCGTGCTGAAAAGGATTTTTAACCAGTCGAATTATGGATATGATGAAACTCACAAATAGCGACTGAAAATCACTTATAAATACATCTCCCAAACTGCTCATGAATGCCCAAGAATGCTATCCAATACAATGAAAATCTGGAAGATATTACAGTATCGGTCTCAGCGATGACTGCATTTTTCAATTTTTGATATGTGCAAATATCTGACGATATTCGGATGTTACCATAAAAACAAGTCAGTTAGAATTAGAATGCACTAACATATTCGTTTAAATCGTTGAATCAATTTTAGGTCGAAACATTTGGTTGCAGCACACCTGACTCTCTAGGTATGCAAATCAGTAATTTCTATAAATTACTGAGCATATATGTAATAAAAACCAAGTGCTAGTGATCCTTTCTACAATACTATATTTGCAATAAATAAACAAGTACGTACAAGCTTGAATAAAAAGCCACTGATCACGTCCCTCTCCTAACATCTGTAATCACAGGCAATCTAAAAATCTCCTTCACCTGCATAATAAATGACGTTTAGCACTTTCACTCAGATTTCGCGTCACCCATCTAAAGTTATGGTAAAGTTCATGTCAATGACAACACCAACTTTGAATTTCACTTTCATTACAGTCTAAACGTAGGCAGAGTTGCGATGCACGGATAAAAGTTTTTGCCTGTAACTATTTAATTTCGACCAACTAGTAGTAGTAAACTTTTCTAAACACGCACTAGCAATTCCAATCACTCTTGCAATTCATTTCTGGCGATTTGTAGATAAGGATGATATCTCACGTGCAGTGTATATTCCATCTAGACTACAAAGGGAAAATTGACTTTCACTCTTAGACGTGCCAATTCTGCTTCTCTGCTGTGTGCACACTATCTGCAAAAGTTGTTATCTCTACTCTCTGCATTATATTCATTTCCAGCACAGTCAAGTTTTTTTATTGACAAGAAGTAACAACCGACTCATTCTGTATTTAACGTTCTGCTTCTTTATCTCACTTTGAGTGAGTATCTGAGCTGATCAATCAGTACTTTTTCCTTCTCTTTTACTATAAAATGTTGAACAAATATGAATTGAATGGAAAGGTGGAGTGAGTGTAAAAAGTGTAGAATTTGGGTAATATGTTCAAAAAGAAGATAGCCTTTTGATTGACGTGTAATGTACCGATTTGATATACGTTAATCAAATCTTACGCGTATAAGCTTTAGCGGTGAAAATATGTCGGGAGTTCCAATGACATTGTACATTTTAGCTTTTTTGACGAAAAAAAAGAGTCAGGGGATTCGATCGCTTGTTCTCTGTGTTGTTTTCGTTCTTACTTCAAATTTAAGACCTCTGAAACAAATTTTATCAAGTAAACATCTACCAGTCATCCACTACGATAAAACAAAAGTGTAATTCTTTACTTGTAGAATGTAATTAACGCATATATAATAACGTAGGCACGTAAATTATATATATAAATGATTAGAAAATTTAGAGGTGTTAAAAATATTCCAGATACCACTAAGCATAGCTTCATCTAGACAATTTTACTGTTTAATCGTAATACAGACCACTTTATCCTGTCAGTTTTTGCTTGATATTTCAAGTATTAACAGGTCATTATTCTATTGCTGTTTTTACGTAGTCTAGCTCACTCAAATTTTCAATAATTTATCGGCGTAAACTGCAGTTTTCCATGCCATTTGAGTGAAGACAAAAATGAGCGAAATAAATCGTGATTTCCCAATGAAGAAAGTAGTTTTAAATAACCACTCACTAATGTCTTTCTTTTTACGGTCTGAAAATCTCATTTGTGTTTGTTGACTTCATTTTGAAAGTCTAAATAATCTTCAAAAGTTATCTGATATTGTCATAACAGTGTGCATATAAATTAGCTTCAAGTAGAAAATTCATCTTGATATTTGATTTTCAGTTCAAGTTGTTCACGGTAAGTAAATTTATAGTAGGGAGTACGAGTTTCTGTTGGTGGAAAAGGTTGTCTTAAAGTAATGATTTTTAATGCATGATTTTTTTCAGACCTCATATGAAGTGAAGTTACTATATGAAAAATGCGTATTCAGTATAAGTAATTTTATTCAGAATGAAATGGATGCAAAGTGTATTGTGTTAATTTTGGTAGTGTGTACTCTTTTCGAGAACTTGCAAACAGCGTTGGATTGCAGTGAAACAGAATGTGGTCCACGAGTAAGTAAGTGTATGTTGCTAAAGGCCTGTAACTGTTCAATTACGAGAGACAGTATTTTACGCAACAACTGCTCATGCTGCACTGAATGCATACAGTGTCTTGATAAACAGTACACTCAGTGTTGTGCTTGTGTAGGTATGTACAAAACTTCTTTCTCAATTTAATTGGCATAAACTGGTGATTCTACTTACAGATTTAGAATCACTTCAAAAGTGTTAGCGAAATTACTTGAAATGACTAACTATTCTTTTGAGTAGTTGTTAGCAAATGTGGACGATATCAGTTCGTGATATAATTATACTGCTCTAGAGCTGTGCATGTTAAGACTTCATCATGGGCAGTCCAGTGCGTCTCCTCTGATTTTTGATGAAAGTTAAAATGCGAGTTTTGAAGTGCAAAACTCATGTTTTAGCTTTTATTATCACTAGTACTATGCTTAAGGTGTGACATTTATAGACCTTTAGATTGCGTGTCGTGATATACTGTGATAGATAATTTAAGCAAAAATATTAGCAAAGGATTAGAATTTGAAAGAAACATGTATGAGCTTAGATTGATTCTATCCTATACACTTTTGTTACTCCCGTTGATGAATTTAAAACTTTAGTCGATAGAAGGACCATGGAATTCTCAACGAATCGTTGTGTATGCGTTAAGAGCTCAGATATTGTGGAAAGCTTAGATATTTGGGTAATTGAAGTTCTGCTCAGTCCATTTCGCCGAACTTGCAGGACTGTGTAATCCGCATAAGGAGCCATCACACCTTGATAGTTACGTTGATCGATTCGATCAAGATGACGAGGATATCATCGTTTTCGATAAAGTCGCTCTGTATGTTGGTTTATTATCGGATCTGTGTTCTATACTTTATATTTTTGAATTTTTGGTAAGAAATACTCTTAAGCCTATTCATCTCAGATGTATCCAAGTAACTGTGTAGTGTAAAAAATACAAATCTTGATCATCTATCTAAGTTTGAATTGTATCATTTAAAATGAACACTTCTTAGTACGAACTTTTATTATATAGAGGATAAACAATGCCAATTTTTTGAACTGTTGTAAATGTTCTGAAATCGAATGTATTTTAGAGTAAATAAAGTTGGCTCGACATATACATTTCCTGCACTGTCCGAGCACTCTTTTGATCGCAGAAGTTAGTTTGTCCTGTTTTATTGCTGCATTATTTTACTGAATTTATTCACATTTCTGAAGTTCACTACTGTTAAATCTCGTATTTCTTATTTTTAGGTCAGAACATAAAGATTTTAGAAAGAACTCATAGTGAAGTCAATTGTACGGTGGTATATCTTGACAAATGTATGTCCCACAAGCAGTGTAGTCGACAATGCTTAGTAAGTATATTTTATATTTCCTTCCAGAATTTTTGTACTGCTCATTACAAACAACAACAAAAATTTAAACTTTTAAAGCTTGTTAGATATCAGTTTCGTTAAATAATATTACAGATTTTGGGAGCATCGATGCTTCGCTGGTTTCATACGGGTTGTTGTGAATGTATCGGGCATACATGTCTTCCATATGGTTCCACAGCTGCACGATGTAAATATTGCACTGATTTTGATGATTCTTTTCGGTCTTCAAGACAAACTGAACTTTGATTTTTTGAATAGTGGCGATGATTTCTGCTTATTAGAAGAAATAGGCTCGGAAAGTTTTCTGCATATTTAATCATTGGCATTTCACATTCTTAAAAAAATTGAGAGCAAAATAGTTCAGCTGTCTGTGATGTCGCTCATGTTGGATTAAGCCGATTAAATTTGGACAAAAATCTTCAAATTATATTAGTTTAAAAACTTCTTTTTAGTCGATTTTTTACTTTCAAAATCATATATTTCACTTTTTTCTTAACCGAATTTAGCTTCTTTTCTGCTCACTATTGTGATCAAGGTGCCAGTAATATACACTACTATAGAATTTGATGTGCTCTATTAATGTTTTCTGGTACTAACCAATAAACTACAATAAACAAGTTTTCAACTGTGTTTAATGATTGGAAGTGAATTGAAATGCATCCATTACCAACAATGCTTTCTTTTTGCAAATAATACGATGCATTGTTGTATTTATAAGCTGACAGATGCATCATTATGGACTTTTCGAGCATATTCAAAGCATGAAGAGATATTTTTACTTAATCAAAATTTTTTATCTGTACAAGATAAATTGAATTCTTTGACTATTCGCTCAGTGCTTTGTGTTCGTAGCAGATTCCATTTTTTTTCCTTCGGTCTCATTTGTGTCATATTGACTAGGGAACTTCTGGCAACTAATTCGAGAACTGATGATTTACTTTTAATATTTATGCATATGTAAATCTCCAGAACTGTCAGTACTCTGTATAATTTGCTTCATCTTTTCACTCTTCGCCTTTTCAAAAGAGGTAGTGTTAGCGCAACGTTGGTGCAATTTTCTGTACATTACATATTGTATTCGTTTACATTAGGTGTATTTTTGCGTCAGCTAAGGTCTGATCAGCCACTTTTAGTTTCCGTATGGTTTTTCAGGTATTTAGCGATTTTAGCTACGTTAATTTTAAAGTTGTAGATTGTTGTCTTTTGGTAAAGTTCCAGAACAAGGATTATGATTACACTGTTGTCGTTTTCGTCGCAAGTAATCAACACCGCAAGAAGTATGTAAAGTTATAATTGTTTAGATACTTATTGAAGTAAAGAATGTGCGAGCTATATCTCATGAAGTCACTTTCAGCATGCATGTGTGCAGAATGTATGAGTCATATGACAGTTGTTTCTAGTCAGTGTAGTAAGTGAGCTGGATTATGAAGTTGAAAGTACAGTTCTAGTAGAGGTCATTACTTGCAGTAATTGTGGGTTGACTTCTAAGATTTTGAAATGTCTTTAAGTACCAAAAAATTGTTGTTCGTAATAGTACAAAATTAACTGAAGTCCTATTGATAAGTTGTGGTGTTATGTTAATTTGCGAAATGCTTGCGAAAGTGTTTGCTTGCTAAGACAGCAATTGTAAGAGGTGCAAGAAATTCTGTTGCAAACATTGAGAAGCAAATGGCAGCAGTTGCTAGCTCTACACATGCATGCACATGCCTTCACTGAATCGATTAGAATGTGAAAGATAAACAAAGTGTGTTAGCAGTGAAACATTAGTAGGAGTTGGGAGTGGGAAGTCTTCATTTTCTGAATTTTTATTTCATTTTGCACAATACCTTTTTGGAATGTAAATTTTGACCGTTTATTAAAGTGAGCGTCAATTGGTTACTGTTGTGCAGTGCCAGTGATTGGTTATGTTGTGACGTAAAAGTGAGAAGTGAAAAGATAGATGAGTGCATATATTTGGTTTTGGTTAAGGCGTGCTTTGTGGTAGTTTATTTGAAAGAAGTACTTTGTTCAATTTCCTCAGTTGAAATACTATAATTTTCTGAATTCGACATTACTAGTCATTCAATTTTTTCCAATTGCTGCTGTTTCAGAGCAGTTCTACGAAATTCGACGCGATAAAACAGGCGCTTATCATTTTACAAGCAGGATGTCCCTCAACGTAGACCCAGCTTTCATAAAGCTTATGCAGCATTTTGAATTACAATGCAAACATCTGAAAATGGTTGATTTATTTAAAAAAGACCCACAGCGGTTTGAAAAATTTAGGTTAGTTCTTTTTTTTCGAAACGAACATGTTGGGTTTGAATGTAGAAAATTTTGTGATTTTTTATGCATAATGATACACTTTAGCATTGTTAGCAGCAAATTTATAACCTTAAGTGCATTTTGCAGCTTAACAATGAACACACCAGATGGACCTATTCTTTTCGATTACTCCAAAAATATAGTGAATGATGCGACAATGTTGGAACTGTTTAATTTAGTAAGCCTTTAAAGACTGCATTGAAATTATTTTTACATGCTGAGAAATCTCTAGTGAAAACATGAAAATTAAATTCTAAATGAGATGAGATTGTGATAATTTTGGTTTTTTAATTGGTGTGAAGAAGAAACGCTAAAGCGATTCGATTTAGGCGAAATCAAGAAAAGTTTTGGAAATGCGAAAAGAAATGTTTAGTGGAGGAAAAATCAATTTTACTGAACAGCGCGCTGTTTTACATACCGCTTTAAGAAATGTCAACAATAAGCTGATAACACTTGATGGACAAAATGTAAGATTAGATTTGTTAAAAGTGTACAAGAGTTACTAAAATCGGTGCTTTAATTCCTTAATAATTATTTTTGCAGGTACTAAACGATGTGAATAAAGTATTAGAGCATATGAAGACATTTTGTGAACATGTGATTAGCGGAAAATGGAAAGGTTATACAGAAGAAGCAATTACGGATGTTGTAAATATTGGGATTGGAGGATCTGATTTGGTGCATTTTGATAATATTCCGAAAATATTCGTTTAAGTTATTATAAGGATAACAGTAGACTTTTATGAGCATAATATTTTTAGGGACCAGTAATGGTAACAGAAGCATTAAAATACTATCAGATTGGTCCAAACGTTCACTTTGTTTCAAATATTGATGGTACTCATTTGGTAGAGGTACGTTTATCTTTATTTTTTCCTACCCATAAACTTTCATGTATTTCATTACTTTTTCCAGGTACTGAAGAAAGTCAAACCCGAAACCACAATATTCATAATTGCATCGAAAACATTCACTACACAAGAAACCATCACTAACGCTACATCTGCCAAAGAGTGGTTTCTGAAGAAAGCGCAAGTACGAGAATTGTTGAAGTTTTAATTGTGTTATTTTTTTCCAGGCTTGTTGTAGAAATTTTTTAACAATATTAATCATCTGTTTTATGAATACGCATCAAAAAAATCATTTAAAGAACTCTTAATGCTTTTTTCATGAGGTCTTGATATGTTTAACTGTCATGTTAAATAGAACAATTATATATTGATTACTATTAAAAAACGCTCCACTTTTTTTATTGCTTGCAAATTTTTAACTATAAATCTTAGAATCCAGAAGCAGTCGCTAAACACTTCGTGGCTTTGTCAACAAACATTGATAAAGTTCGCGAATTTGGTATTGATGAAAAGAATATGTTCGAATTCTGGGATTGGGTAGGAGGTCGTTATTCATTGTGGTCTGCTATTGGTCTCTCCATAGCAGTGCACATTGGCTTTGACAATTTCTACTCATTACTGAAAGGTGCCAGTGCTGCTGACGAACATTTTCTCAACGAACCCATGCAAAAAAATGTAAGTTTTTTTCTTGAACTTTTTTTTTGGATAAAAAGTCCTGTTTTTTGTACTCCTTTTCCATGGTTCAGTATTTCCAAAGAGTATATTTTTGGAATTTTTTATTCAAGTGATTGTTGATGATGGAAAAAAAATGCATAGGCTTGATTTCGTTGTAAGAACTGCAGATTCCTATAATAATGGCTTTACTGGGTGTTCTTTACATTAATTGCTTCAAAGCTGAAACTCATGCTCTTCTTCCTTACGATCAATATCTACATCGATTTCCAGCTTACTTTCAACAAGCTGACATGGAAAGTAATGGAAAGTTTATCATGAGGTACGTCTAATTTCACATATTTCGAGATCTGTTGCAGAAATATATAATCAGTCAATCAGTATCACACGCAGCTCAATTTTTTTCGGCATTATTGTTAGTAGCATTGATACTATTCCGGCACTTTCACTGTTCGAGCCCGGCATTCAATTTTGCTGGTTCCGGTACACCGGTTGAATACTTTCCCATACTCTCACAGAGCTTTTTTCAATTGCAAATTTTTCTATACATATAGTATTACATAAAGTTTAGTCTTCTTTTTTGCTTTATTGATTCTGGCGCTGGATATTCCGGCATTTCAGCTGTATTTGTCCTGCATTCAGATTTGTTGTGCAGATCTCTTTTGCTTCATTTTCTTGGAATCCATAACGATGATCAAATGATATGATTTCGAGCGTCTTCTTGAGCACTATGACTTGGATATATGCCTCGACATAATCAAGTAATCTCCGCGTAACGTTTATGGAAGTTCGTTACAATTCCATCTCAAGTCATCACTTACTGAATTATTTTCATCTCTCATTTTATCTTTGTCATCTCTTATTTTATCTCTGACCCAAGCTTATTAGTGAGTGTTCATACTTTCTACTTTTCTCAGTCTCCACTGTCAATCTGTCGTTGCTAGTGATGATAGCCTTAGGATTACTTCTTGTCGCCTCTTGTCGTGGATCATGATATCCTGTCGAATCGCACTTATTTTTTAGCTATTCTGTGCGTATGGTTTCCCATACTTTTCCTGAACAAAATAGCTTCGCTTGCGTTGGAATGCTTTCAAACCATACTTCTTTCAGAGTCCTAAATAAAAGTACCACAGTGTTTTTAGTATATTCATGATTTAAGATTTTCTCGCACTGCGTTGCCAGATGGTCTGTCTCTTCATATCTTCCCTACAATGTCGGCGCATACCTTATATATATATGTTAGTCGACGTCATAAAACTTTGAATAATTATCGATGATTATAGAGCTGGATTTTCTGGACTTGTAGTCTATATCTGTAGATTTAAGAAATTTTTTCTCTAGAGATGGTAGTAGAGTTGATTTTCCGACTGGCCCAATCGTTTGGGGTGAACCTGGAACTAATGGTCAACACGCCTTTTATCAACTCATACATCAAGGTTGTTTGTTGTTTTGCTAACAGTAATTTTTTTAGCTGTGAGAATGAGGAAAACATATTTCAAAGATTGTTTTCTTAAATTGGCATTCACCAAAGACGTTTTTTAATCGTGACTTCTTTGAATTCTTTGTAGTGTTTCTCATATTGATATATTTTTATTAGTATTCTTATGAATTTGTTCTTTTGTAGGTACTCGACTAATTCCTTGTGATTTCATTGTACCAGTTAGATCACTCAATTCTATCAGCAATAATCTCCATCACACTGTAAACTATTTTCATGTATATCACTTTCACTTTGATACGGTTTTCTGTTTAAACAAAAAAAGTTAATTTTACTCCAAAAATTAAGCTTTTAATTCGGCATCACAGTACATTGCATGAAACACAATTTTACTTTGGATGTTTTACATTATAGATTTTTAAAATTATCTCTCATTAATAATAAAAAGTTTATTAAAAATTCATATTTTGAGACCATTATGACGTTCAGCCTTTGTTTTTATTATATAAGGAAAGATTTTCAGCACCAAGATATTAAGTTGTATAAAACTTGAAATTATTTTGAGCATTATTTTCGTACCATAAATAACATACTCTTTTATATTTGCTAAAATGATTTGGTGCAGTGTGATTTAAAATGTTATCTAATTTTAGATTTTATTGCTTAAGGTAAGGTTCATCTAAATAGAAGTATTTCGATATTGCGTGTATTTAGGTCCATGTCTGCATTTCAGATCTTGCTTTCTAATTTTGTTGCTCAAACAGAAGCATTAATGAAAGGTAAAACACCAGAAGAGGCACGGGAAGAACTGAAAAATTTGGGGATGAATGAAGAGAAAATCAGACAGTTGTTGCCTCATAAGGTTCAGTATTGTATATTTTCATGTTAAAATTATTTGCTTTCATATTACAATATTGAGATTGATTTAACGATCTCTTGAGTTATGTTGTTGCTAAAATTAAAACGTGATATTTTCGTATAACGTAAATATTAATCGTTTTCGTGGTATTACAGAAGGTTTTTCTAACATGATACTTTTTTCTTGTGAGTAGGGATTACAGTGTATTTAATTTTATACCGTATACTGCAGTGAAGCATTTACAAGCCATTTTTTATCATAATAAAATGCTTTTTTGCAGGTCTTTGTCGGAAATAAACCCACAAATTCAATAATTTTACCGAAACTGACACCATTTACTCTTGGTGCTGTAATCGCTTTTTATGAACATAAGATCTTCGTTCAGGGTGTGATTTGGAATATCAATAGTTTTGATCAATGGGGGTATGTATCTGTTGCATCTTATTTTATTTTTAAATTTGTTTTTTTGCTTCTGGCTAATAAAAATATATTTTTTATGATCTTATTTTATCTAATTTTTGCAACACTACGAAGGGATTAAATCTTTTCATTATCTATTTCTCCTTAATTTTGGAGCGTCTCGGTGCGCACTTTTTCATGTGCTGTTTTAGCTACGACAGCTTTATATTTTGTTGACTTTATGTCTGCAAGGACTAATATTTCTAAGGCGATAATTTAGCTCTGTATGTAATATTTATCCAATTACAATTAAGAGTCGAGCTCGGCAAACAGCTAGCAAAAGTTATACAGAAAGAATTCGCAACTGATGAACTCTGCAGTTCTCATGATTCAAGTACTAATGGTATCATCAATTTCATCAAAAAAGAAAAAGCAGCAAAGAGATGAGTGTTATTCATTCGTTTTGACTTCTCTTACCGCTGTTCAGTTGTTTCACTAGTCTGATACCGTGGAGTCCTTAGTATTTTTATTAGTTAGATAAATAACCTGTATGAGATATTGTTAGATTAGTGATAAAGTGCATTAATATAATGTATTTGTTTCAGATTCCAGATAGGAAAATTTTCTACTATATAAGTTGTCTGGTATTTTCTTGATTTCAAATTTTAAGAAATCCGTCACTATTGATGTAGAGGCCTCATTTTTTGGTTGTATCTTTTTTGTTGTTGTGTCTTGCGTATTAGATGTGCCAGCGATCATTATTTCATGTAATAAACTGAAATCAAAGTAGTGCTTTTCAGATGGGTGAATTGTTAATAGTCTGCTAGCGCATTTTTTCTTCTTGTAAGTGTTGTAACTTGGTGCTATTAAAAATTTATAAACTTACTGTGAAAAAATATTGCTATCAACTGTTCTTCACATATTCTTACTTCATTCATGTTAATTCTTTTTAGAACAAATGTAGAAAAATCTGTTTAAAAGCGCAATGATTGCTTGACATGTTTGCAGGTTGATATTATAAATTAAGAATACAGAAAGAGGGAAATATACAGTCCATAAGAGTTTGCGAAATCTAGATTAATAGTAAGAAATGCAAAAATAGTGGAAAGTGGTTTGAAATTGCATGGTATAAGTATTGCTAATTATGACTTCATGAATGCAAATCAAGTTTTTGACTTTAAAAATAAATGAATACATAGGAAGTCATGAATTGGAAAACTTTTCGGGACAGTGTGAAGAGGTATAAGTCTGTGACTGATTAGAAGTTTTTACTGAAGAATTTCTTACAGCTAGAGGGTTTTGCAGGAGTTTCCCCATTTCTGGACCAATCGGCTACTAGATGTAGTGATGATGCAGAATGCAATGTCTGGGTTGGTGCGGATATCATTTTTGTTCTTGATTATTTGCTTAATTGGTTAACAATTCATTAGTTGCAGGAAATGGCCGGTTATGCACTGAAACGACTTATGGCGGAATACAAACGTGAGTTTTGATAGGATTTACGCATCAAGGCTACTCATCAAGAGCTATAAAAATGCTTAATTAGTTGGGAAATTTTTGGATTTTAATTTTATTTTTTGTTTCATTTTAGTAAACAAGAAAAATTTCATGTAAAAGTTAATGATTAAATAGCCTTTTGATGGCGGATAAATTTACAAGGGTGGTAAATATAGTGTCAGATAATACAACAAATTTCCTAAATAACTGTCAGTTTCGGCATTTCTTGTTTTTGCCAAAACTGTTCGTAAACTTTTACAAAAAAGGATGTATATCGCAAATCTCTAGATAAAAGTATGTTAGAGAAAAATAGTTCGTGTTTCAGAATTAACTCTGGACCCTCCAGAGGGAATTATTGCTGGACCTGTTAGTGAAGACAACTTCTTCGAATGGGAATGTTTAATCACAGGTCCCGATGAGACATGCTTTGCAAACGGTGTATTTCCAGCAAAAATTATTTTCCCTCAGGTACCCAGTGATACTATTGCTATTCATACGTCTTTTATCGTAAAATGTTTTGCATGCAATGTTTTTGCGTGAACGGTACACTTATGCTTTGCATTATAAGTGCAAATGAAAAAATCACGAAAAAGTAATTTCAGTTGTATGCTACCTTATATTCTGGAGCTCAAAACTGAATCCGTTCTCTCTTATGAGGAAAAAAATTATTATAGTGTCCAGCCTTTTAATTTTTTTTAACAATTTAGATTTTACCGAGACTTTACGATCGAAACTTGAAATGAAATCCTTATAATACTTCTAACTTACATAGATGAAACCTTTATAATATTTTTAATATGCATAAATAAAATCTATATGAGTTAGGATTACCCACTCTCACCGCCAAAAATGCAGTTTCTTTGTGATATCTTCCATCCGAACATTTACCCTGATGGCCGTGTATGCATCAGCATCCTTCATGCTCCTGGTGATGATCCAACTGGTTATGAATCGAGTGCTGAACGATGGTCACCAGTGCAGTCTATCGAAAAAATATTACTGTCTGTAGTATCTATGCTTGCTGGCAAGTGATGAAAAGTTTTCGAAATTTCTGCTGATCTTTTGAAAGTGTTGTTGAGAACACTTAATAAAGACAATATTTCGTTGTTGCTAAACTATCTAGTTTCCAGAAGTTACCATTAAGATTAGTGTTTTATGAAATTCAGTTTTCAGAACCAAACGATGAAAGTGCTGCCAACGTAAACGCAGCAAAAATGTGGCGTGAAAATCGGCAACAATTTGAACGTATCGCCGATAATTTGGTGCGAAAGACCTTATGCCTACCACCCAATGACTCGTTGTAATTACTACATCTTTGCAAGTGAGAACTTGAAAACGATGACCATCTTGCCCTAATTTGTTTAATTTCTTGTTTGTTTTCTGTACCTTCTAAATACTTTGTATGAAAGTATTGTGCCGAAATATACAGAGGGTTTGCTTATGTTTGAACATAATTGTTTCTGTCATAAAAATGGATTAAAACCGCTGGTACATCTCAGAATTGATTTTGCTGCAACTTTAGTGTCCTGCATGATGACCTGACCCGGAATTCTTGTCATTCTGACACCTTTTAAAGATTTAAAGATCTTTATGTGCGATATGCAACATTGACAGGGATTTAGAGAACCAACAAAAACTGGCATTTCTCTACAGAAGATGGATTTAACAGTAGGGTGAGTGCGTGAGGAAGTAAGGGAACTATTGGATGTGGATCAGAACTTCTTAGAGGTTAGATATTCTGGTCGGTTCAGATGCATCAGTGTTTGTCAGGCATCGAACTCATCATTTCCACATTATGCGGTAATCAGTCAACGGGTACGCCATCTAATATGGTGCATTGGGGCATTCAGTTAGGGATAGTTTTCACAAAATATTCAGTTCAACCTTTACATTTGCTAGCTTTTGACTTAAAAAAAAGCTTAATATCTGATTATTCTGATTTTACTGAAGACTATATTTGATTTCTGAAGGTTTCAGGACCTGAACAGTATGAATATTTTGTTACTGTACTGGATTTTTCCATAATTAAGATATTTAAAAAGAAGTCTTGAATTGAACTTCTGTACATCATTTATTGTTGTTCTATTTATATCTTCGCAAGTAGGTGTCAAATGCTTATTTCGTCCCATTCCTTTCACTATTCAGCCGTATAATGCAATTTACATTTCAGAATGGTTTCTCCCAAGTGTTTTGTTTTGTAAAGCATGCACTCTAGAAAAGTTGTAATTTTTGTGGCTTGTTCTTGGAAGTTGTCATCTTAAATATCTTTGCTGAATGTCCGCAAGAGGTTTTTAGGACTTCTAATATTATGAAATAGTCATCGTATCATTGCAGCAAAAATTGTTTTTAAGCATGACGACCAAAATGCCAATTGTCGCTCAACGTTCGAAATTTTCGTGTCTGAAAATTTACGACGATTCAACTTCGTCTAGTGACGAAAATGGTGATAGACTAAAGAAAAATTCGTCTTCTAATAAGGTTATTTGATGTTTGCTGAATTTGGTGAGAATAGTTTGTATTCAAATTGATATATTAGAAAATTTTTAAATAGTAATTAATACTTGCGAAATCTGGTATTGTCTGTTACTGATTTAGGTGACTTTAAGAGCAGGTGCTCTTGTTTATTTTAATCATTGAAATGCACTCGAATGAATGAACAGCTTTATGAGAGAGCGCCAATTTGCATTATGTTTTTTTTATTTTATTAAAGTAGTTCATCTTTAAAATAATCCTTCTATTAAAAGGCGACATAATACATTAAGTTTTGTTTGTTGAATCAGTATGGTCATATTTATTTTGAAGTTTGTTCTTTTAACTTCATCAAATTTGACATTAGTCTAATTCTATTTTATGATCCAAGATAAGCGATTTCAGATCAAAAAGTGTGGAGATCAAGCAGTAGCAGGTCGTAGTGGTCTTGTTGTACATCCTGTACCGCAGAGGCCTAAAAAGAGGGGCAAGAAAAAAAAGAAGGTTAGCTAAATTATATGGTGAAAATCCCATAGTTTTCTCAATTTATTTCATGTATCATAAGTTTATATTGGTTATTTTTTCTACTTAAATTAATGTTCTACAGATTACATCAAAGTATAAATTATGAACAGGCTCTTTTTTTATCTTTTAATATAGAATTGATTTCTGTTTGTACCTTTTGACATGAAACTGATTTCCAGTTCTCTTTATTTAAATGTCTGAATTTGGTGCAGTGCGAAATTTCCTAAATGAATGTGAATGTAACTTGAGCTTTGTAGAAAAATATATGGTTGTTATGATGCTGTATAAAGTTCATTTATTTCTGATCGTAGATTAAAGTGGTTTTCACATTTTATAATTTGAAAAGTAGATGCAACTCACATTTTTAGAATTATTTTTCCTCTCGCTATTCATTTAGGATTGTGAGCAGGCTGCACAAAACATTCAAGAATTCACTCACTGTCTTCGAGAATCATTGCCATCGAACGTAATATTGATTTGCATTTTTTTTTCCGAAAATGAGCTTTATGTAGTATTGGAGACTCCTAAGGCTAGCTTCTAGTTGAAGTTTTCATATAATTTTTTGTTTACTTATAAACCAGTTTAGAGATTCAATTTTAGGCTGATGTAGAAAATAGCAATAGCACGGAAGACAAGTCAGAGCAACCGAAGAGTGCTATAGAAATGCTTGTGTCAGAACTGGATTCAAAAGCTACTGATTTGTTGACAAAAAATGATGGGCCACAAAAAGTTGTACGAGCCAGATATAATTTTTTCCGCGAAAATTTGACGCTATATCCAGTTTTTTTCTTCTATTTAAAGCAGAAATTTGTAGATCTTAAATTGAACTGCTGAAAATTTATATCCTTTTTAAATATTTAGAAAGAATTACAACTAGTTGCATTATATCGACTGAAATTGCTTGAAATGCACCAGAATTTGGTTGCGGAAACTCAAGCTCGGTTACAGACCGAAGCAGAATTGATTAAATACAAAAGCCGCTACAAGAAGTTGTGCGAGTTATTGAAAGATGCTGAAGGTATGTTATTTCTTACTTCGATGGCTTCATAAATACAAATTTTCTTATTCTCCAATTCATAATATGATAAAACGGTTTTCTAAAATTTCATACTCTATTCTTAACTGAGTTGCTGTCAAAAAAATGTTATTTTCTAATGCAATGTGTTACAGTAAATGAAAAAACGCATATGGCAGCCGAACTCGAAAAAGCAAGGGTTGTGGAAAGTGAGTTAAGCACTGAGATTGGAGAATTGCGAGGGGAGTTGATGCAAGCACAGAGCAAGATTCGGTCGCTTGAAATGAAGCGGAAATGATTGATCGCATTGAAGTTAGTATTCAGACCATATCAGTCACCAGAATATACTTTCATATATTATTTATGATAATTTGTTTTAATGAGAAATATTTGCATGTATAAAGATAAAAAAATTATTATTTAAGCATATGAAAGGAGAGGTCTACATAAAAATTTTTGACACTTTTCTTGACAACTGGATGCAATGCATCCCATAGTGTTACGGATAGTGAGTTGAATAGGATTATTTTTTCATGGTATTTGCTGAACATAATTTGCTAACGCCATTCACTCGAAAAGTGTTGATTCGACTTATGTGTATGTAATGTCAAAAGTTGTTTCGCTTTAGTATTTATCTTATCTAGTTATTTATTTGAATTTAAAAAAAATATGGGAGTTCCGAGTTTCAGATATATGCAATATGGGTGAAATTTCGCTGGTAATATAATGCTTTACGTCGTAAAACCTGTCATGTTTAATTCGATCGTAGAATTTAATGAATGTCGGTGTGTTATTGTTGTTTTTCAGTTCAATGGGTATTATTTTTGGGAATGCTGACGTGTAATTTTTTTGAAAATTTCAGACCATCTGAATTTCAAAACAATTTTTCTATTCTTCTATAGAAATTAAAAAATTTATATATATTACATTCATTGAAACAGTTTGCAATTTCGATTACTTGTTTTTCAATACACAGTTTTGATTTTGAACACATTTTTTCTTGTTTCTTCTTTTTTAAACTTTTATTTATCACTAAAGGTATGTTTGCTGCTAAATCAGATCTAATGTGCAGATTGTTGTTACTGAAATAAAATAAACCTTCTATTAATTTGTACACGCATTATCATTGTTTCATGATTACTAAGATCAACTTCAGTATGAAGAAAAAAATGCTTTTTACGTAATTCATTTTACCTCCAGACTTATGATGTTGAATTCAGGAATTATTAGAACTTTGCAACATTGGTTTCGTTGTTAAAATGAAGCAAATAATCCTGAGTCTAGTCTGGTTTCTTGAATTGAAGTATTTGATATTCAGTCAATACCAGTTACTCGAATGTACTTTCATAAATTACTAGTAATTTAACTAAGTTAAAAATATTTGCATGAGTAAATTGTTTAAGCAGTTGAAAGGGGACTTCCTCACAAAAGTTTTGACACTCTTATTGATAGCTGGATGCAATGGTATTCTACAATGACTATAAGGTGTGGGGTGCTGCGAATGATAAGTAAATAACAATTAATCTTTGGTACTAGCATACTGTTCGGTACAGTTTTAAATATATGACTAATGCTGCAACAACAGTCTAAGACTATGACGGGCGTCATGTATTTTTACATTTTGCATATATTCATATAAGGCATATAAACACTTTTGAAAAACAGTAGAACTAAAATCAAGGTAGAATGAAGATCAAGACAGAAAGGGATGAAAGTGAGCAAACAACTGGAGAAGAACGATTTGGAATATAAAATGAGACATTTAGTACAACTTTAATTTACTATTTCTTCATCACTGTTCTATGCATTCATTTATATTTTTGATTTTCTCCTAGATGTTGCAGATAACCAAGAACTCTTACTGCATAAACTGGTGGAAAGATATTACAAAGTAAAAATCGAGAGAGACTGTTAAACATGAGAGATTTTATATCATGAGAGGAAAGACAATGAGGTCCAGTTATCAGGCCCATAGAATGACAGGAATGTATGTTAAAGCTTAAATTACGATAATAAACTGGAAAAATTACTTGTAGCAGTTCTTGCATGATTGAGGTGATGCAGTACCAATAGCAAATACACGAAAACCAATTTGACGCAATTTTTTATGATCGAGAATTAACCTCCCATCAAACACTGAAGCTGGTTGTGCCATCGATTTGAATATACGTTTATAATCATAATCCTGCAGAAATGTTTCAGGCTCAATTTCGTTTCAAATTTGATTGCACTTGCAAGACTCGGAATTTCATCAAGTTACATTAAATAGTGGTTTTTGCAATTAGATATTATGAATACCGAATAAAATTATATGGTATTATATTGTGCAAGGTAATCAGAAACGCAAAAGAACATACTTTAAATTGATCCCATTCAGTAAGGACAACTACTGCATGTGAGTTCATAGCCGCTTCGTATGGGTCATTCTGGTATGTAAATAATTTATCAACTAAAAAACAAGTTTTAGTAGATAAAATTTATTTAGTGAAATAATTTTTCGAGTGAATTGGAAAACAAAGAATTTTGTTTGAATCTTTACCAAAAAATTTCTTAGACTTTTCACTAACAACAAAACAAGACTACATAGGAAAAGCTACAAGTGAAAGAAAAAAGCTGTACATAGAAGTAAATTGCATACCAGTTTCTTTAGATGAAATCTGATTAAGCTCGTACAACATTTGTGACTCCGACACTTTTGGATCATAAACAGCTACTCTAGCATCTTCGTCTAACAAGTATTTCACGACGTGGATGGCTGAAGATTCTCTGAAGGGATTTTTACTATAAAATATTTTCAATCACTATTTTTTAATTTAAATCTAGTCGCAGAGTTCAAATATTGAAATTATGAAATGAACATATCCAAAAATTCTAGTTCAGTAAGTATCTGACTTTCACTAATTCATTCTTTGACCTCATACGCCTTCACATTCTTAAAGTACTCTGTAATTCAAAAAGCTAGCATTAACTAACAACTTACCTTGTATCAGCCGTATTTTTTTTAAAGGCAAATCCAAATATTGCAATCTTTTTATTTGATACTGTATCAAACATTTCAGAAATAATCTTATCTGCAAAACGCCTTCGCTGCCATTTATTAATTTCAACAACCTGTGGAAAAAAGCAAATTTTATAATCACTGATTTAGTACTTGTCATCACACACAACAGCAAGACAATTCTGAGTGATTTAGAAATATCAAAAAAAAAATTTCACTATGACTTTATTCATTTAAATACTTGAATTTTATTGCAAGAAAAGCCTCTTATTCAACTTACTTGCAGCCAGTAATCAGCTACTTCATGAAGATTTAGAGATTCCGCTATATAAACAAGGCTCAGAACATCTTTTTGGAAACAGCTGCCTCCAAAACCTTTAAAATTCAAAATTTAAATTCAATAATGATATTTTTAGCATCTAACGACTAAATACATGCAATTTCTCACCAACACTCGCTTGAAGAAATTTATTTCCAATCCGCGAATCTCGACCTACCGCGTATGAAACTTCTCTTACATCAGCACCAGTTGCTTCACATATTGCAGATACAGCGTTTATACTTGAAATCCGCTGTGCCAGAAATGCATTAGCTGTCTGGAAAATAAAAACCGACATAAGTTTAACTCTAAACGAATATAAGCAATGTACCATATACTACTGAAGATTTTTAATCTTCAAGACTTACATTACTGTGATTAATAAAAGCTTTTTTAATATACGGAAAAATAAGATATCTTTTCAACTTAGATTTGTGAAATTTTTTAGTGAACCAAAAGAATTGGAAACCTCATCATTTTAGTTCTTTTTAAAAATGAATGCACTTGCCAATTTCGAAAGTTCTGAAGACCAAGTATTTGTTGTAATAATCTTATCTCGAGGTACCCAGTGTTCATAAATTTGAATTAGTTGAGCTGTAGCTGCCAAACCATCAGATGAACTTTCTCCACCAATTAAAACGCGGTCAGGATTTAATAAGTCATTTATCGCAGTCCCTTCCGATAAAAATTCTGGATTCGATAGAATCTAAAAGTGTTTTTGCACGAAATTTGTACATTAAGGTTACGATCCAATTTTAGTACTCCGGATCTGAAATGCAAACAAGAATACATTCATTTTCATAACTTACCACGCAAAAAAATCCTTTACCAATTTGTTTCCCTTGATCTGCAGTATCTTTTAATAACTGAAAATCACTGATACCTGAAATGAGAGTCTGGAGTTCTTTTTATGAGCTTCATTCAGTATTGCATTGATGCTCTCAGCAGCCTTCACTGGTACAGTACTTTTTTCAACTACAATTTTGGGACTCAGTGAATGTTCTGCTATTGCACGAGAAACCGATTCCACATATTTCAAATCGGGTGCCATTCCCTAGTAGTAAGCTCATGCAGAGAATACTTCGGAATATAAAACAGAAACTTTAGTTTTGGTCTAGTTCTGTAAAGCTTACAAATTTTATGCAGAGCATATAATATCTAACATTTCAATGTTACTATTTTAATTTTTACTTTTGGTTTTTTAAGCTTAAAGCACACGATAATTCTTTAACATTACTTGTTTTAGAATAGCTAGATAGTCTTTTTTGTTTTTGCAATCCACTGGGAAAACCCTAAACTAAAATCACGCTTCTTGTAGCTAAATTACTGCAACTCTTCATAAAGATTCATTACTCTTCGAATTTCCAAGACACTTTGAAACATTTGTGTAAAAGATATAAACCTATTACTAACTTTTCCTCTACCATATGTTTTTGTTGGCGTATTAACAGACATAAAAATGAGTTGTGCTTTTCGTATAGCTGTTGGTATATCATCAGAAAAAAACAAATTTTTTCCACGACATAACTTTACTATTTCATCGAGACCTGGCTGAAAAAACTGCAAGTTAAAAAGCAATTGCAACTTTGATGGGGCATGAATTTGATATGTAACATATGTTAATTGACAATGAAAACTGAAACCAGTTAAGTAAAGCATGCAATAAATAACTGAGCTAGTTTAATTAAAATATTGAAACCTCAAAAATAGGCAAATGGTCCGAATTCCATTGTCTGATTTTTTCTTTATTCATATCTACTACAGTAACTCGTATTTCTGGGCATTTATATGCGATTACGGCACAAGTTGGTCCACCAACGTAACCTGCTCCAACGCATGTTATGTCTTCAATCTTCAACAAGTTTCCGTCTTTTGATTACAATAAGCAATTATAGCCAAATGTAAATGCTTGATTTTACTGATATTTATGAGATGAAGCAAATCTTGTTGCTAATTTCAGACCGAATAAAGTAATAAGGGCGGATATTAACTAAAATCGAATGGCCAGTTCTCTGAAACTGGAAGATACTAAGGCATATGGAATGAAACAAAATGGTCATAGAATTTCGGTCAATACTCTAATCGATTAATTTGGCAAATAAAAATAAACATCGCCTATCGTAGTTTTAAACATTTTGAAAGTAATTAAATATTATCAAATTTAATAAAAACAGCGGAAAAAATTATAAGTAATGATAAAGCAAGTAGTTTACCTTCTGCATGAAAGCCATTATTGTTCAGTGGATCTGGAATGGGTATCTGCTTGCAGTTAAATTGCGTCACACTAAAATGAAATGATTTATACTTAATTACTTTTATAATCGAAAAAAAAAATCTGTAAGTATCAACATAGATAATTGATGAAGAAAGCGGGAGGCAAACAATCTATCTCAGCGGTATTACGTCCAGCTGAGCAAAACTATAGCAAAAGTGATCATCTACAGGAGCACAATCATCTTGAGAGATCAATCTGCATCGATCTGCATAAATGCCTTCAACTGTATAATGAGACAAGAGCGGAATGATGTGAATAAACAAACATACATGTACGCATTGCATAACAGATAAAAAGTAAATTATATGTGAGATAATATCTCACTTCACGGCAGCAATTCTTCAATTAAGATGAAGTACGAAGGAGTAGTTAGTAAAGCTCGAAATGAGACAAAGTGTTTCATTACTGCTACACTTTCACCATTGTTGCTCAAAATTTGGCAAGTAAATACCAATTTGCATCGGTTTTTCTTTTTTGGTTCGTAAGTTTATCTCTGATTAAATATTAAAGTACGAGGACGTTATCTCTGATTAAATAAAGTGAGGAGGTGCGATTTATTTTGCAACAAAAATGAAATAAATAAATGGAGTAATGTAGAAGTGGACTGCTTGGTTGGTTCGCAAAATCTGGGAACGAAAGGTTGCGCCTCGATGGATTGATTGAGTGCAGAAGGAAATGGCAATGAACCCTATTCTCGGCGCGAAGTAATGTCTTCAATGCATTCATTTGCACATTTTGAGAGAAATGATTTTTTTTGCTGTTGTGAAGTGTGTTGAAGTCTTATTTTTTCATTTTTACTGTTGTGGAATGTTCAATTATCAGTGATACATGTGATCAGCTTTGATTGATCAAAATGATAAAGAAGAAAAAATATTTGCTGGAAAAAAGACTTAAAATCAAACTGATTATTGATAATGATCAGCATACTGCCATTAGTAATAACCGTTGAGAATAGCTATACAATAAAGAACGGTAAATAATGTTTATAAAAAGAAAAAAAAAGTAATGCAAAAGTGATGGTAGCGAAGTAACGTACGCAAATCGCAGGTGAAAAGTGTTTGCAATGGAGGAAATTATGTTGATGATTTGTTGTGCTGTAAATTCTGCCGAGTCATGAAATATTAAAAATGAAATGCATACTTTCACAGCAGACCACGTCATAATCAAGCGAACAGTCTACCTAGCATCACAAGCACACGCATTGATTAAAAACTAGAGATAAATGATGCTAACATTAATGTTATTTGAATTAAGATTGAACTTTTAGTATTAATAGTAATGGAGCAAATTACCTTGAGATCGTTAATACGGCTCAACTGCAAGAGTAGAAAAAAGACACAGCGATGATAAATAGTAATGAAAAAGATGGAAGCTGTTAAAATTCAGGCTGCGAAAGAGTAGTGGTAAGTAATTCCAAACATTCCTCATTGCATCTTAATTTTTTATTAACATTTTTGACCAATTTCTACATCTTTGTCCAGAATGAAAGAATTGGTCCGAAATGTTTGCGCAGTTATTATGAGAAAACTTTTGGCCTTGAGAGAAAGATGAGATAAAAGAGACAAACCCTAGCCAATTTTTGCACGTAAGTCAAGAAAGTGAAAAAATTCGAAAAAGTATCCATATTTTGTATTTGATGCAAGCGAATTGCGCAGAAGGGAAGGGTGTCTGTTTAGATGGCAAAAATCAGTCTTCTCTTCGCTCTGGCCTATTCTTTCTTTCAAAAAAATCACCATAAAACTGCCGTACTTGAAAGCAAATATTGCTGAAAGCTAGCAATCAACAAAAAAAGCAAAAATTGCTCTTTTTCTTAGTTTGAAAAAGAAACTAAATGTTTGGGCTCCGTTTCTCGATTGTATGCTGGCAATATGCTAACATGCTATTAGGATTTGTCGTAGTTTACTAATTAGGCCATTAGAAGGAACAGGGAAATCATTTCAAAACTGACTGCTTTACTTCTTAATGTAGCAGCTTGCTTTGTGAGAATTGTATGTCATAAAATAACTAATCCAAGCAAATAAAAAAGATTGATCTTTTTTGCTAATTTAATTTGTTTGATACTTCAAATGCCTATTTGGGACATAATCGTGTCGTTGACCAATCATATTCATTTAATCAAATCCAAAGTTAGCACTTTGCATAGCAACAAAGATTTTTCAATCATCCTCTTCAAATTCGAATTGATCCGTTTCACCTTCGACCCGAACATTAACACTTAACAATCGCTTTGAATCAAAGAAATACAATCGTTTATCAGTGGGGTTGTAATGTAACATTGTTAAACCACCAAAAGGGTTGTACCACTTCACATTTACATCAATCGTTTTGTTCCTGTAACGGATTCTTTTTTTTTTCGCAAATTATTATCCATTTCATGTTTAAAAATGGAATTCATAACGCTTAGTAAATATGATGTCTGATCTCACATTTACACACTTTTACAAATTTAAAGCGAAGAAAAAGATAATTTTGCTACTGTCATCGGCAGTTATTTCTTTAATAAGCCTTGAGAGAATAGACTATTAGCCATTTTTTTCTACCTAAGCAGTTGTTCAATTTATCTGTCAGTTGTTTCTTTGACATAACTGAGTGCTTCTGTGGAGTCATATGCGACCTGTGCAAACGACCATTTGCTCCTTTTAACTTACTAATCATTCCTTAGAACCGAATAGTAACTGCTGATAGTTTTCAGCTCACCTGTACAAATCATATGCAAAATTAATAAACGTGTCTCGATCAGTAACACTTTTTAATCCATACAGAACTCCACACATGATAAATGTCTCTGCTATATCAGTTGCATTTAGCTCATAAATATTCCAAGTTCGCACTATTTTCATATCCTTAAAAATTAACATTTGTTTTCATAGTTTAGTTTTGAAAATATTTATTACAGATCAAAGGGCAATAATTTGTTTTAGTAAATTAGTATTGTTTTGGTTTTATTATCACTTTTTTGATATATCGATATTCCTATTTTTTCACTCTACAATTTGTGTTCAAAAACTCTATCTATAACTGTAATTTTTTCCCAATGGATGCATTGTATTAACAGAACTGAAAAGTGGAATATTAAAGCGACAGATTTGAAATCTTTTTTATTAGCAAAAATTTTTTATTTCCAAAAAAGATTTCAAGTTATCTAAAATTCATTATTTAGAGTTAGAATAAATTAATTAAAAATTTTTGCTAATAATAACAAATCAAATTATTACTTTCTAAATAGAAAATCAAATACATTGTTCGTTTGTGCTGCGAAATGGAATTATTTATGCTAAATAAAAATGATTATATTAAACTGCACTAAATAATTTAATAATTAACTAAATGTTAAATAATAACACACTACAAGTTTACCGGTTCAATTTTACTGACAGTGATGTGTTTCATTCCTGATCTCACGTAAACCACCCAAAGTCCATTTTCATCTGCGCCATAATCAATATAATTATGAGGACGATTGTATAGCCAAATATCACGTTCTGTCTCATTACAATTCTAAATTCAATAAAAGTATAAAAACAATCTATTTAATAACAAATTGAAAAATAAGAACTGATTACAAACTCGATTATATCATTAAGTTCTCAAATCCACTGAAAATTATGATATAATACTTGCCAAAAAAAATTTAAAGATATCAAAGTTAATCATAATTTTTGAAAGGTACTTCAAATGTGTGGTCTCGTCTTCTAGAGCAGTCCAAATACGAGATATCTCCTAAACTTTTTTGAATTTGATCAGTTGATTCCAAATCATACTTTACTAAAATGCTTGAGCTGTGCCGGTGGTAATAATAGGAACCATTGAAGATGATACTGCCAGTACCAGATGCCAAATAGTCTACATAATATCTAAACATTTAATGTAACGAAGCAACCCATTTGTGTCGACTGCAAACAAGGAACCGCAATTATTAATTTTGTAGTGAATATAAATTCTTCCACAGTATACTGATTGCTATTTTACTTACTTGGTCCTTTGCAATTTTAAAATACAGCATGCTTCAAAAGCACTGTCTTAATAATTAATTTGTAATTAATTTGTATTGGCATTCAGTCAGTTATATATATAACTTGAATTTTAGTACTTGCAGGAATTGAATAAAAAATGCCTTGAAGAATTTTTTTGAACAAAGTTCATTATATTTGATGACTCCGTGCACTGAACGCTTCTCAAAAATAAAGTAATTAAATCATTAATTTGCACTAAAAGAAATTATTTTCACACAGAAATGAATGCTAGAAAAATTAACGCGTCAAAATTTATTTATTCAACAATTGCTCTCGATCTAATGTTTTTTTTTGTCACGATGATGACACTCGTAATTGACGTACTTTATTTTTTGTTTTTTATTCATTAACTGACGCTCATTTTCGTACTCATACAGTACTGGAGATGCATAATCATCAGTTACCCAGCGTCGTTCCGCCATTTCATGACTGTATGGCTTATTATCACGCATCCAAGATCCTACAGCACTATACTGAGATTCGGCGTGAAGTACAGGGATTCCTACGGCATCCAGAAAACATACTGCAAAAATACGTGACACGTAAATTTTAAGCGCAAAATGTGAAATTTCAGTGAAATTTTTTTCTTCAAATCTTTTAAATAATACAATAGAAATCTTATAGAGTTTGACAATAAATCTTGTTCGCAGATAAATATCTCTACGAATTATTGTTACAAAAGTGACATGCATATTCAGATTATCAAAAGTAAGTAGTTGTAAATCATGCAGACCTCTCTTATTGCCATTATATGATGGTGAATCAGAAACTGGCTTCATTTCCGGCAATAATTTTGACAACTTATTATCGGTCTTCATATGTTTTCCAAAAATACCTCAAAATGCATTCTGCAACTATCAATTTAACATCTGCAGAAAACTGACATTGTGCATTATCTTGATAACTTGGAATTATAATTTATTCATTTGCTTGCATTCACAGAAAGTAATATTGGTGAAATTTATCTAGCCATGACTGATAATTATCTGAGATAGATAAAAAAGCAGTATCTAAGATGGATAAACCTGGTACAAGTGTAGATTGAAATATTTTAGTTGGTACAATAGAAACAGCTCGACTGACTGTTGCAAATTTTGATGAAAATTGAATTGCCGACAAGTTAACCTCGGAAGCCATACCGCTCTCACCCTGTTAAACGTTACAACTTTTTTGATCTATGAATGTCTAATATTTCAAGCAACAATTATGCAGTCTTTCACAATGCAATGCATGACACTTTAATCGAAATTAAAATATCTCTGATTGAAGTTTGACGGTTGATATATGATCCTTGATAAAAGTTGAATCAAATTTTTTCGACTTGAGTAAACTAAGTTCAGTAAAAGTTGAGTAATTATTTTCTATTCAATCAAATAGTATGACTACGATAAGGAAAATAATGACAAAAATTCGCACTACAGTTTCTTTGAGACTAATCTTAGAGGGCTGAGGTAGAGTGTCTTGCACGGTTTGATCAGTAGCCGTTGGAATCTGATGCAAGCGAAGGTCTGGAAACGAGCAGTTACATCGACCTAAAGTTTATTCAACATTTACGACTTGTTGTCATGATATTCGTACATGATGTCAGTATCGATATTAATGCCATCAGCTATGATGTGATTAGTTCAAAACTAAAAAGTTAAATTTTAAAGTTGAAAAAATCACTAAAACGAGCAAAGTCCAAAAATTAAAGGAATCCGAAACCTGATTAAGCATTTCTTTCATGCTGGATATTTCTTTAAAAAAATCTATAATCTTTCATATATCAAACAATAATCTTCTAAGATTTGTCAGCATATTTGTTGATCTTTTGATTTTATTAAAATTCGGAATTATTTTTCAGGGATTAAATCAGATTTTTAGAAAATTTGGTTTTATCTTTATTTAACCTTTACAATTTATTGTATAAGAAGAAGTGTCAAGAGAAATATCCAGCAAAGAGAGGAAAGTAAAAAGTAAGTTCGCGTCTAAAGTGATCACTTTAGACGCGAACTTATCAGATATAAGTATGTTTAATATTAATAATAAGCAAAATTTGATATTTTCATTATTGGATTTACTTGTCCAAGTGCTATTTGAATGATTTTTTTTATATTCTATAAAATATTCTAAAGAATATTAAATTGGATATGGAAAATATACGTCAACTCGCATATTTTTAAAATTAACCATTTTCTCCTGGCAAACCTTTCTCGCCAATATTTCCAATTAAGCCTGTCAGGCCAACTTTTCCTTGCTGACCGCGTTTTCCTGCAAACTTAATCTTTTTAAGTTTAAGTTTTCAATAACTTTTTGAAATGAATGAACGAAAGTCAAAATAGACAAATAAGGTAACTGCAAGTCCAATTTATCTTTGCTACCATTCTTTTCGTACTAGCCACCTGAATGTTATATATTCAAATGAAAAAATTTTAGACAGTCTTATCTAAATTTCACTTTTCTAAACACGTTGAAATTGATTATCAGTTGTAATAAAGCAAATATAATTGCTGACCTGGTGATCCAACAGCACCTTGCGGTCCAGGTGGACCTCTTAATCCCCAAAAACTGAGTATGCGTTCTTTTGAAGCACAATAATGATGAATTTTCTTGCACAATTTTTTCAGAATAGTTTTCTAGAAATTCAAATATGAGTTAAAATTTTTTTGGTAAGGCTTTTTACGTTTCTTATTTCAAAAATTTTTTTTGTGCAAAAACATAATTCAAAATTTTTTTGCTTAAACATTTTGTCAACATTTGTATTACAGAAATTGTGGTGCCATGTCCGGTAAGTTGCAACCACTGATCCAAATTATCATTGTCTTTTTTAGGAATTTTTGCTAGTTCTTCAGCTACGGCTGAAACTTGTCTAACTTCTCGAGAACTTCGCACGCTGCTTTTGTCACACGTCAGCATCTTCAAGAAAAGCAGTGCAAGCGAGAAACAATGAAATTTTTTTTGATAATTATTATTCACAGCACTAAATTTAAAAAGACAATCGGTTTCATCCATGAAATGCCAGTCATAATTGCATGAAAAATGCTACTTTTAAGATCTTTCAAATAAAAACTTTCCTTACGAACTTGGGATTGAGAAAAGTTTTACTTCAATAAAAAATGAAATTAAAGTGAGCGTCAAAAAATTGACCTGTTGAATAATCGCTTCAAATTACTAATTGAAAGTTGAAAATTTAAATTTAATGTTGCAGTAAAAAATACATAAAAGCAGAGCAATTATTTAAAAATAAAATTAAAATGAGTAGTGAATTACCTGTATGTGTATTGCAGTATCAAAGTAAAATACTATAAGAAGAAATAATTGCGCAAAAAATATACTAAAAAGGCACTGAAGACGCCAGTAACGAGTAATCATGCAGCAATTTATTCACTTTTCATATATGCTTGTTTAATTTGAGAAGAGAAGAGTGTGCTTCAAAAATCATATAGAGGAAAATTATGTATTCATAAAGTTTAGAAACGTAAATGCAAATTATATAAACAGAAGAATTGTGTGCAAAATGCAATATGAATCATTGCAGTAAATGCTGTCCGTGTACGTAAATATATTTTGTGAGCACCCAGAAATTTAGCTTATATACAAACTGGTCAGAAGAATTTCGAGAACATGATAAGCAGTAATAATTACAATGGAAACTTTGACTAAATTGTTTGAAATCTTTGTTGAAATTTGATGTGGCTTCAACTTTGAGTCTTGTTTGATCAAATTAGAAAATTATTGATCGCAGAATTTCGGAAACTTCAATTAACACTGCTAAATTGCTAGAAAACGATAAAATGTTTAGAGAAAGACAGAGTGATTTAGATTGAAATATTTTGAGTACAACTAAGATTTAACTGATTTCGATGGCACTAATAAATTTATAAAAATTTTTCGAAATTAAACCAAAGTTATGCATCACACTTTCTGGCAAAAAGCACTCAGTTGCATGCATTGATATGAATTCATATTGTGGACGGAATTTAACTAAGTTTTCACGTATAATTTCTTGTAAAACACAACGTCGCTTTCAGCAATACTTTTGCAAAATTTTAATTGTGAAGTTCATGGCTCAAAAATTCAGTATTATAAGTAATTTTCATGCACATAAATTTGTCCTAACAGAAAAAAATTGACTGCTCTAAAGTGTAAAGAGCTTTAGACTATACTTTAAAAGAATGTGCTTTATATATCAACATGGTATGTATATGCCACAAAAATAGATGAGAGTTTATAAACAAATTTACTTGTAACGAGGAAAATAACAATGAGGAAGCAATCAAAAATATTACAAATTGAACAATTGCTAATTGGAACTGCATTTAATCCATGGAATTTTTTCCCGCATCTTGGATTAAACACAACAAAAAAAAGTTTTTCATAAAGGTACGTTACAATTCTGCTACATACATTTACTGCTAATGCTAGTAACGATGAAAATTATTGAAGACTACTTCATGATGAACGTTTTTTTCCGAATTTATAAATACATGCAAAAGTGAATGCCAGAAAAGAAAAAGTATGTCTTATAGTTCTTTCCGGGAATTTCGATCAAATTCGAATATGCTGCCTACAGATATCTATTTATAAATTCGGAAAAAAACGTTCCTAAGAATATCCATTTACAGTTCACGCAAACAACTATCCTCCTTATTATAATTTCTAAAATGGTTACTTTTATGTACACTTTTATAAAGATGCCTACTAAATTCCACAATTATTTTTCTTTGTTAAATTCACAAGTTCACAAATTTGTTGCATCTGTTTATAAGCGTCAAAAAGTTACTCATTATATTCTTTAGCTTAGTTTGGTGACCTTACCTTTCCTCGGAAGGAATAATAGAGAAAAAGGTATCTGTAGGCAACATATTCGAATTTAATCGAACCTCCGGAAAGACCTATAAGACAAATTTTTTTCTTTTCTGGCATTCACTTTTGTATGTATTTATAATCAATTTTCATATTTTATACTTATAATAAGGGATTTGCTTCTGCTAGTTTGAAAAGTTTCAACAGTATTTGTAATATGTGATCCATTAAATATGGATCGCATCTTCCATCAGATGCTGTTTGTTACGGTTTCTACTTGATCTCACTTTTGCATAGAGAGTATTTCATGCAAAGTTATAAATATATGAGAAATGTAATCAGAGTTCTTCAGCTATGATCTTTATAGCAGAAAAGCTTTACTTATTTTCATTCCATGCAAGTTTTTTAAATATTGACAAATTAATCAAGCAGTTTTGCTTTGATAGGTAGCACTAGAATTTGAGCTTTTTCAAATATGTTTACTTGAAATACCTTCAGCAGCGAATAATAACGCTGAAGGATATCGCTTATTTACGAGATGGTTCTAGTAGTTACGTCAGATTGTGAAATTACTGCTGAATTTATTTCTGCCATTTTCTAAAAATGACTCTAATATTTCATAAAAAGAATTTATGGTTTTTGACTTTCCTTTATTTTCAAAATTCAGACAAGTTGAAAGAAGCAAAAACCTTCTATAAATGCTTTGCACAGAGTCAAATCTGCTCAGTCATTACGTTGTCATTGGTGTTTCTACTTTTCTGTACCCAAAACTGACATTAAATTTGCATACTTAATTAATACTTGATAATATTGTTAATGAATCAATAAATCAGTAAGGCATGAATTAAAAAAGGATGGCAACGATTGACGTTTTCATGCTCCTCAGTGGCTTCACGCACTGCACGAAAGTTTTCAGTTCTACACATTCATCCCGTTTACGCACTCACTCTGTTAGAAGTTAATGAATTAATTACAATAAGTGCTGGCGTGGAAATACAGAAAGCATTTGGTTGTTCAGAGCAGTATTAGCAAA